TTGGAAACACGGGTGCATTGGAATATATGCAGATTATTACCAGTCTGTGCAAGCATGAATGATTGTAACAATGGCTGGGTAACCGGCACCCCCATCCCAGGCCCCAGGAAGACTTTCCACATCAAGCAGATGTTCACCTGCACATCTGCCAATGTGGTATACTGCATCCGCTGTACCCGGTGTGGCTTCCTCTACATCGGGGAAACCAAGCGGAGGCTCGGGGACCGCTTTGCAGGATACCTACGCTCGGTTCGCAATAAACAACTGCACCTCCCAGTCGCGAACCATTTCAACGCCCCCTCCCATTCCTCAGACGACATGTCCATCCTGGGCCTCCTGCAGTGCCACAACGATGCCACCCAAAGGTTGCAGGAACAGCAACTCATATTCTGCTTGGGAACCCTGCAGCCCAATGGTATCAATGTGGATTTCACAAGTTTCAAAATCTCCCCTCCCCCTACCGCATCCCAAAACCAGCTCAGCTCGTCCCCGCCTCCCTAACCTGTTCTTCCTCCCACCTCAAGCCGCACCTCCATCTCCTACCGACCAACCTCATTCCGCCCCCTTGACCTGTCCGTCCTCCCTGGACTGACCTATCCCCTCCCTAACTCCCCACCTACACTCACCTTTACTGGCTCCATCCCCGCCTCTTCGACCTGTTTGTTTCCTCTCCACCTATCCTCTCCTCTATCCATCTTCTATCCGCCTCCCACTCTCTCCCTATTTATTTCAGAAGCCCCTTCCCCTCCCCCTTTTCTGATGAAGGGTCTAGGCCCGAAAAGTCAGCCTTTCTGCTCCTATGATGCTGCATGGCCTGCTGTGTTCATCCAGCCCTGCACCTTGTTGTTTCGGATTCTCCAGCATCTGCAGTTCCTACTATCTCTGATTAAATTTTAACTCTTTGTTTGATCGACGTTTATCGATTTCCCCTCCTACTCTCCCGATTCCCCAATCCCTCTATTTCTTTTCCCTCCCCTCCTCTTGCTTCCTGGCCAGGGTGAATCTAAGTATTGTGAACAGAAAACAAAAACAAATTGCCAGGTGGAGGTTGATCTATGTGTGGCCATCTTGCTTTTAGATCACGGGATGTTCCAAAGTGAAGTTGTGTTCAGGATATCGTGTGTCAGCATCTGCCTGTCCTGGTGGAAGACTTGTAACTATCACTGTAACCACTCGCTAATAACTTGCAATGTCCACACAGCGTGTATTACCGGGGGGGAGGAATGGCTGTGTCAACTCAGTGGTGGAGCCACACTCTCTATCCAGCAAAGACGGATTAGGACAGGCATTTTGACTGGAATCCACTTTGTGAAAAGGACAAGCTTGACTGGCGAATACTGCTGGTCTTCTGCCTCACAGACACACAGCGTCCCCTGGCTTGATTGTTGGCAGTTTTAAAACTCTCGGGTTTAATTTTCATTTGTTTGTAATTCCACTCTCTTTTTAATTTTCTCTGTGCGATGTGAAAGTTCAGTGGCTCTGTAATCATATAATAGCACTCAACCCTGCCTCGGCGTCAGGCTCATATACAGCTCATTTGTTGTACTGTATGAATGTGTCGGAATTGATTGATTTTTGTATTTTTTTCTACTTATAATAATGTTTATTCAATAAAATTAAAATGGAGAGCTGTGCTGTGTGCAGTGAGTCTATAATCTGTAAGGCTCCAGGCAAAAAATCATTTCTTCTGCCTTCTCTCTTAGAAATGGAGTAAAAGCATCTAACACATCAGTGCTGCTTTCCGCGGCTGACCTGGGTGGCTTGCTACATCATCTTGACATGTAATTATCCTAACTCTTCTTAATCATTTCATCCAAGATTAATTGTATAAGACAACAGTGACAAAAGTGTAGGTCAGGCCTATGAGTGGGAACCCCTGGTTCTGTTCAATAGGCACTTCATTGACTCAATTAATAAACTTCACAGAAAGAGAAGCCAGATTTTTATTATATTTTTTTGGGGGGAGGAGGTTTGGTGGTGGTGGTGGTGGTGAGTTTGATTGGTCAGTGTTCCGGTTGGTTGGGTATGGGTTGGGGGAAGGGGAAATGAGGCTGAATAGAATCTTCAGGGAATTCATTATACAATCTGCATAAGAAAGCTTGTTTTTTTTGGCCTAGGTGCTCGTTGAATAAGGAGCCACACAGCCAGTTATTTGAAATAGAACGCCTCAGCTGTCCCTTTCAGTTACTTCCTCTCACTGCAACAACCACCCCCCCACCCCCGCACAATGTGGTCCACCACCTTCCCCTTGCAGTCCCTTCATTGCCCAACCTATTCTCTCCATTGGGTAAGGCCCAACTTTGCCCCTTCTGCTGTCGATGCTGTAGGGAAATTGGGAGTTTCTTTCCTCCAGTGATTCTCTCTTGAAGGCCTCCCACCGCCTACCTCCAAACTTAGTCATCACCCAACCAATCCCACCTCCACTTATTCTTACATTCTGGTTCCCCCGGTACCCTAGTCAAGACACCATTCTTTGCGGGTGAGTCTGGCTGGTGAATGTAGGAAGAGGCACTGACTGTGAGGAGCATTACAGCTGATTCTGCACTACTTCTCACCATCTGGAGACAAGGAAAATCTCAGTCTGAATTACGCAGGTAAATAGCAATGCCAACATTGACTGTAATGGGATGATTGCACTGGGCAGAACCTGGTCAGACGAGCAAAACATAGCAGTAACAACAGTGGGTAAAATAAAGGCCAACCCTGCAAGTGTCATACCACATACCTGATTGAGGGGATAGACGGCTCTTATTTCTGAAGCCATTACAACAACAACTCACGTTTATATAATGCACTTAATTTAATAAAGCATCCTGAGGTACTTCATCAAACAACATTTGAGATTAAGCCATATAAAATGTTAGGAAGATTAATTATAATCTGGTCAAATCAGTAGGGTATAACTGGCATCTTAATGGAGGAGAGAATTTTTTTATAAAATTCTTTAATGAGATGTGGGTATCACAGGAAAGGCCAACTTCAAATGCTTATTTCTAATTACCCTTGAGAAGGCAGTGGTCAACTTAAAACGCAACATGTGCAGTTAGGGAGGGTTAGGGTTAGGAGATAGAAACAGAAAGGCTTTAGGGAGGGAATTTCAGAGTTTAGGGCACAAGCAGGTGAAGGCACAACCTTCAAGGAAATCGGGGATGTGCAGAATGGACAGAATTCTGAGTTCCCAGGGATTTGAGAGTCTGGTGGAGGCCACAGGAGATAGGGAGGGCTAATTCCCATGGAGGAAACGAAAGCTCTGGGAGGAATGTTTAAAATGGAGATTGCTACCAGAGTGGGAGGTGTCATATTATGAGTGTGAGAATCAAGCTACCTTAAATACCTTGTCACTTTAAATGTACTAGCACTGTCACAAGCAAAAATGCGCAATGTTTTAACATTATGATGAACCTGCTAGACCATGCACACTTACACTAGCATCAGGTTGCCTATATTTTATATACTGCACAGACTATGTCCAAATCATAATCGAGTTAGTTCAAAATAAGACAGCACTCTAAAGCAATTTTTTATGTAACAAGAATACAAGATATAAAAATCAGAAATTATTGTTTCTGGAAACATTTCTTACGTGCTTTTGTATACTTATTGTAAATAATATTTGATCAAAAAATCCATCAGCAGGCTTAGAAAATAGCAGGGGTGGTTGCATTGGCATTCATAAGTAAATACAGACAGAGTTTCTCCATGTAACATCATGTACCCTCCTTTTTCCAGCAAATACCAGCCAAAATCTCCCTTAGCTCTATCTACAGTCAAAGGCCACTCTCAAATCCAAGTGTAGCGTCAGATGGTTCCTATTTTGAGAAAACCTGAGTCTTGTCTCCCATTCCCTTTGAGTATTGACGATGACTCTTGTCCCTTCACCTGATAAAAGGTAACGGAGAAGATTTAACTCTTTGAAACTAGCAGCCAGCTTCCTGTGACCTCAACATTTTCTGAAACCATGAGACTGAAGCTGACTTTAAGCTCTTAGGGCAAAGGAGGGCATTTTGCGATGACAAGAGAAGGGGTAGAACACCAACAGTTCACAAAATACATTAGTTTTCCAAAATTGCAAACTTTTATCTCCTCTTGTCTTGAAGGCACTGACTCGTGTTCAGCAGTTGGCTTAACTCACGCTAAATGTCCTCCAATAACTCACTCCACTGCCCATTCTTTGTGTGTAAATCTTGGCAGTGAGTGTCAGCAGGCCAACAAATATGGGCAACACCAGGCCTGATCATGTCCTCCAAGATCCGATTCCAGTTGGAATCATTGGAAGGTGATTAGGAGCAGGATAGTTTTGTCCTTCCTTAATCCAGGGAGGCTATTCGCCTCAGGTAACTTTGTGCCATTCATGATATTGGAGGAATATGTAACATAACATGTGATCATTTAGTTTGAAACTTACACTCAGAAGGTCAAGGAGAAATCCCTTTTGCAATTCCAACAGAAACAAAAATTGCTCAATACTTGGCGTAACCTTTGAGTGCCCAAGAGGTTAACACCACTGAAATAATTCCTTGATGCTCTGTCTAAACAGAGATTGCACCAAAGAAGTGGATGAATCTCCACACAAAGCAAGGAATACATTTAACTCCTTCTTGACTGTAATGAAGTGACCTTCCCACACAAAACACCAACAGAAAGCATTCACTTCTTTAAATGTGTGAGTTGCCAATGCTAACCAGCACTGGAAGGTCATACAATGGCATGAGCTTGTAATTTCCATTGCTAGAACTAAAGGCCCCTGAACTGATCTCCAACTGTACACCCTTAATGAATAACACCCCTTAACCGATCACATTACACAAACCTAGTTGCAGAACCGAATTCTATAATAAACATTAAACCCCATCTGCAGCCTCACTGCAGCCAACAGCCCAAACCTTATGTAAACTAGAAGATGATTAAAGAGCAGATGGATAGCATGCAGACACCGTGCCAGAAATACTAGCTGCCCTACAGGTGACAGTACAAAAAGATGGATCATGTTTCCCTCTTACCTTCATCTCGTTTCCTCTTGGCCTCGCCATTCGATCGTGGAATGCCCAGAATACCGTTGATGGAGTACGATCCCACGGGATCATTGGAGGCTGAGGACACAGGCGGAGAGTTTGTGCTTGGGACTGAAAGAAATCAATATTTTTTTTTAAAAGTTGTGTTGCACAGTGCATTCAACAACTTAACCTGTTATTCTCTCCAGCCGGCTTGGGCAAAACTAACTGAGTTTGTAATGGTCATGAGCGAGAGTGATCAATATTCTTTAAGACTCATAAAGGAAGTTAATCAGCATGAAGTATAACCAAATATAGTTTGCCTATTGCCAAGTGCACTGAGGTATTTTCTGATGTAATAATAATTCAAAGAGGCCAGGGATTTTCAAATTCTACTCCCTGTCTGCACTAAGTTAACCGATAGTTAATTGGGCAATATTAGAGGACTTCAATTCTTCTTAGTATTGATGAGTTAAGAAGAGAGAGGGAAAATATCATTCAGGTCCCCACACCAGATCACTAACCCACAATCTTTATCAGTAAATGGATGCAGTGTGAATACTGCATCAAGAGGGATTGGATTCAGATCTGGGATTATAGAGCAGTCAGTGTCTCTGTGCAGGAAGACCTAGACAACAAGGCTCAGGCTGATAAGCGGCAAGTAATACGTGCGCTGCTCAAAGTGTCAGGCAATGACTATCTTCAAACAGGGGCAACTTGACCTTGTCCCCATGACTTTCAAAGACATTCTCCCACCATCGATATCCTGGGGTTCCAGAAATTGATCTGGACGAGCCACGTAAATATTGTGGCTACAAGAGCAGGTCAGAGTCTGGGAATTCTCTGGTGAGTGACTCACCTCCTGACTTTCCAAAGTTTGTCCACTATCTACGAGGCACAAGTCAGGATTATGATTGAATAAACCCTCTTGCCTAAATGGGTGTAGCTCCAACAACACTCAAAAAACTCAACTGCATCCATGACATAATAGTCTGCTCATTTGACAAACCATTAATTGTTTAAACAATTACTCCCTCTATCAATAGTGCAACATGCGTGCCCTATCTACCATATACAAGATGCACAGCAGCAAATCTTTAAGGGTCTTTCATCTGCACATCCCAAACCCACAATCTCTACAACCTTGAAGAATAAGGGGAACAAATGTGTAAGAACACCACTACCTGCAAATTCCCCTCCCAATTCCATGATACCCTGTCTTAAATTTATTTTGCCATCCCTTCATCATTCTTCTAAAATCCTGGACTTCCCTCCCAAACAGTACTGTGGGTGTACCCAAACCACACACAGACTGCAACAGTTCAAGAAGGCTGCTCACCACCACATTCTCAAAGGCAATAATGCTAACTTAGCCAGAGAACTCTACATCCTGCAACCCATTAAAAAATTATCAGCTGTGATACCTTCCAGGAATGAATAGCTGGCCAATACTCACTGTCAAGGTTCAGACGTGAATAAAGGCCTCTCGAGCAAGGTATTGGAGGGCAGCTGGTTCCCAAAAGATCTGCAGCCCAGTGAGAGGAAATATCTGGTGGGAATGGGGAGACAAAATTGGGAAAATAAAAAGTTTTAAATAAAAAAGAAGTGTCTAATTTCAGACTGTACATTCACTCTCTGATAATAAAACTGGTTTGAGTCAATATTATTGCCTTCAAAGGGATGATTGGTTTTACTGTATGTAATGATCCTTATAGGAATGTTAAAAGCAGCACAGTTCATGGAGGATCTCAAGTTCATAGATTAATGCTTTTTTTCCCTTGATGCATACAGTAGTAAGGGCTCCAAAAGTCCTTCAGCACCCTATCCATGTAGCCACATGTGTCTGTTAACCTTTTTCACCTTCATGCCTCTCTCAATGCACCAGCAAACTCATCAAGGATCAGAGGTTAAACCTGTGTCCTTGTGTGTTATGATCTGCCCGTACTGCATGCAAAACAAAACTTTTGACTATACTTAGGTACATGTGACAACAATAAATCAAACCAACTTTGATTTAAGTTTCAACTGCCAGGGTTTTGCTTATGTTTATATCATGGAGTGTTATCACACTCAATGGCCATAAGTATGTCATGAAGCTGAGAAAAATATAATTATAATTTTTTTCATAATTAATTAAGAGCCAACAATTGTCTTGATCACAACTGGAGCATGGCAGTGAGTGCAAGTGCATTTCACTGAACTGGTTGAACACTATACAGTATCAGTCTCCCCCTCTCTCAGCACATCCATGTGCAGATATATATCACTTCTACAGTATTATTGTCTACTGACTATGTCCGATGCCCTTCAACAATCACTCCTAGCCAACATGCCTTGTAGACACCTCACCAAGAACAGGGGCTGCTGACTGGCATTGAAGATAACTTTGTGTGCCCAGTGCTAGTAGCAGGAAAGGGTGGGTGACAGCTCCATAGCTACCATTAGATAGCCATTTGTTTTACTCATTGTTGCTCCTGGCAAGGGACAAAACATGGGTCAGCTGATGCCCTATGCCTCCTGAGGCAAGACTGCAATGCAATGGGACATCAGTGTAGGCCAGGACACTGCCCCTTCAGCTCATTACCTCTGAAGGCCCCCCCTTCCCTGAATGATGCCAAAATGCTGCTGAGGCTGTTGACTGGCCTCAACCTCACTGGATTAGCTTGCTCTTAAAATGTACGGTGCAAATCAAAAGTAAAAAGGATGGCCTCTCATATCAGCAATAAACACACAAATGATGCTACTCCAGCACAGTTTTACAATGTGTTAATGCTTTAATTAAAAAGAAACATTCACTTACCATGGATATGTTAAATTTGTGTTGTGTTTCTCTGCATGTTTGTACAACAAACATATGTATGTGGATATGTATATATATGTGCATCTAATTACTTTTGTGTAACTCATATATATATCATGCATTATACAATGTGACTAATAACAGCAGTGTGACTGACAGGGGAGACAATTGGCCCCCTGTCTATAATTTCAGGCCTGTACTGTTCAGCTAGATCTGTGTGATCTTTTCATCAGTAACTGCCCCATTTTGGGCATGCATATATGGTGTCTCGCTGTGTTGTAACTGTAAAATCACACCAATTACCCAAGCTAAGATATCTATAAATCTTCCTCATAGAGCACTTTCTGTGAAAAGAAATACAAAACAGTTGGATCCCCAGCTTTAACTTTGACAGGTTCTCACCACATCCATAGTAAATGTCTCCCCATCCAGACAATGAACTCCCATCTATACCTGGCTGCATTGGCCTTGAATTCCTCAATGTACAAGCATCTGTCAAAGGTCTACTGATTGAATTCTCTACCTAATGCAAAGCTGGGTCATTTGGATATAGTCTCAGTTTTGACTCCCGGTCTGTCCTGAGTTAACTGAACTCAAACAAGGCTGGTTGAATGTCCCACAAACTATCCTCTCATTCTATGGCTGGAAGAGGAACGCAAAGTCAGAGTTTTTACGCTGTGCATTTTTGAACATTGGATTAGATGGGTGCAGGTTTGGCTGTGATGGCCTCCAATACTGGGATAGCCCACTGGAACAGCATTTAGGTTCATATTTGAGGAAAGTTTGATTGTTGAATGTACCTACTACTTCTGCAGAGCCATGCTTGCAACGGGCTCTGTGGCAAGTGTCCTCCTAGCTCTGAGGAACTGGAACAGAGTTTTTGCAGTCACTAGCTTTGTGATCTAAAATCTTCTGCTCAAACAGATAGTTGCAATTAAGACAAACAGAAAGTGCTGGAGAAACTCAGCATCTGTAGAAAGAGAAGCCCTTTTTCTTTGTGTTTCAGATTTCCAGCAGCTGCACTTCTTTGCTTACATTTCAGTGGTTGCTACTAATGTTGCAATGTGGGAGTCTCAATGCATGGCTTTACAATCACTATGTACTATGTATCGATTATGTGACTAAATTATTTCAATCAAATCCATAGAAAAATCGACTTTTTTTTTCAAAAACAAAGAAGGGGCATCTTTTCAGACCTGGTTTCATGGGCTATTTCATTGGAATCTATCCCGGGAAGAGTGTGTTAAAATTTAATAACTGTACAAAAGGATACTGCTTCCTGATAACTGTAAATTTTCATAGTAACCCCCCAAATGTTTCCCATGAATTAGAAATTTAAATCAAGAAGTCAGAAGATGTGAGAAATGGAAAATGCCCCATTGGTATGGAAGACTTGCTAGCTTAATGTACCTGGTGACAATCTCACCTCCTGGTTGGAGTGCGATGGACGCAAGATCCACTTCAAAATGCAGCACGTGCCCCAGTAATATTCATAGGAGTTCTCCCAGTGACCCCCAATTGACCCTTTCCAAACAATAAGCAGAAATACCAGAGAAGTTGTCTAAAAAGCTGTTTACACCAACCCACTGGGAATCCACTAGTTACAGTCAGAGTTAGAGTCATACAGCATGGAAACAAACCATGCCGAGCATGTTCCCAAACTAAACTAGTCTCACCTGCCTCAGTTTGGCCAATATCCCTCTAAACCTTTCCTATTCATGTACTTACCCAAATGTTTTTTAAATGTTGCAGCTGTAGCTGCATTTACCACTTCCTCTGGCAGTTCATGCCACACTTGAACGACTCTGTGTATAAAAAGTTACCCTTCATGTCCTTATTAAGACCTGCTCCTCTCACCTAAAAAATATACTCGCTAGTTTTGAACTCCTCCACGTAGGGAAAAGACCCTTGCTTTATGTATGCCCATCATGATTTTATATACCTTTATAAGCTTAGCCCTCAACCTCCTACACCCCAGTGGAAAAAGTCCCAGCTTATCCATCCTACTTTTATAACTGAAACCCTCCATTCCTGGCAACACGCCAGTAAATATTTTTTGAGCCCCCTCAATTTTAATTATATCCTTTCTATAGCAGGGTGACCAGAACTACACAAAGTACTCCAGAAGATGCCTCACCAATGCCCTGTACAACCTCAACATGAAGTCCCAACTCCTGTACTCAAATGTCTGAGCAATGAAGGCCAGCATGCCAAATGCCTTCTTAACCACCCTGTCCACCTGCGATGCAAATTTCAAAAAAATTATGTACCTGAACCACTAGGTCTCCCTGTCCTACTGCTAAACCCTTGCAGTAATTCCATCCCATTGTCCAAACTGATGATCCAGTGAAGTGTGGAAGGAAGTGCCACACTGTCAAAAGTGTCACCGTTTGACTGAGATGATAAACCAGAGTACTACTTAAGATACTGCAGCAGTACCTAAGGGGCCCTAAGTATGGTTGTACATTCAACTGATTATTCCTGTCACTGGTGTTTGTTAGAGCTCCTATATGCAAAATGACCTCCACATCCCCTTTTTGTTCTAATAACTACAGAACTTCAAGATAAGCTGTTGAAAATGAAATGTTTTGAAACTGTGTTATAGGATTACAAGTCTCTGATATTTTGGTGACCACAAAACAATAACAGATTAATTCTAATTTTAAAAATTAAACATGTAAAGCCATCATTACAAGTACTTTACAAACTGGAAACAATGTAGATTTGCAGGTTTTAATGCATCATCTTTGTACAAATCAATTGAATATCTTTATGTATTTTGGTATGAGTAGTATTTTACACAGTACTTTTGCAGATTATGTCAATGCATATCATGAAATACGCAGCATTGCTGGCTCTTGTTTAGTTTCCTGTCCAGGAAACATCCATTTTCATATCAATGTTGGTGGAGAATTACATTCAGCAAAAAGATATAATTCAGCCCTTTTGAATAGATTACCTAATTTGTACTGTGCACCTGTCCTTTTTCCACCTTAGCTCCTATAAATTTTCCCGTTTTGGTATTTATCCAATCCTTTTAAAATTAACTCTTGAATCTGCTTCCTCTGTTTTTTCTCAGGTTGGCTGTCCCAAATTAGCTGTGGTTCAGTTAGCAGCCCTCTTGTCTCAAACTCACAGGTTATAGGTTCAAGCCCCATTCCAGCACATTCATATAAAAAGTGACGCTGACACTCTGGTGCAGTACTAAGAGGGGCATGTACCGTCAGAGATGCTAAACTGAGGTCATGTCTGCCAACTCAGGTGAATGGACACAATGATGTAGCACTATTTTCAAGAAGCACAGGGGAGTTATCCCTCCCATCCTAATTAATATTTATACTTGAACATTATTAAAACTGCTCAGGTAATCACTGTCACGTTGCGGTTTTGGATTCTTGCTGTGTAAACGCTGACTGCCATGTTTCCTGACTTAGAACCGTGACTACAATTCTAAAATACTTCATTGGCTATAACATCCCTTGGGATATTCTGTGCTAATGAAAGGTGCTATATAAAGTTAACCCTTTTTTGTTTATGACAACTGTCTGAATAAACAGGTCTATCATCTGGTTCTTCTGCATACCTACTTATTCTGGAAGCAATCTCCCCTCGCAAACACAAACAAAGTCCTTCATAGTTTGAGCACCTCGATTAAATCACCCCCTTTCCAGCTCTGAGGAATACATTCCCATCTTCTCTGACCTTTCCAAGTAACTAATGGCCTGTACCCCGAATACCTGTCAAGCTAATCTCCTCTGCGGCTCATCTGAAGTAGTGATAGCCTTCTTTAGTTGGAGAAGATGGTAGTGTCATGGTTATGTCGCTGTGTAGCCAACCCAGAGGCTCAGGGTCAATTCTCTGGGGACATGGGTTCAAATCCCACCAGGGCAGCTGTTGGAATTTGATTTCAAATGATAAATCTGGAGTGTGATGATGATGATATCAATGGTCATAAAACCCTTTCTGGTTCACTAATATCTTTCAGGCAAGATAAGCTGTCATCCTTATCTAGATAGCAAGATGTAGAGCTGGATGAACACAGCAGGCCAAGCAGCATCAGAGGAGCAGGAAGGCTGACATTTCGGGCCTAGACCCTTCTTTAGAAATGGGGGAGGGGAAGGGGTTCTGAAATAAATAGGGAGAGAGG